GGGGTGGGGGCGGAGGTGTCTTCATGAATTGTTCCCCATAATTCTTGGTCTGTGTAATCACCTGTCAGGTAGGAAATGAGAAATCTCCCAGATCAGGATACTGAAATTGAGAAAACATGCAAGAGGTTCTAATCCTTTACCACGTGAAAATAAACTGGAGCTGGGTTTTTACAATTGATATGTTTGCAGGCTAAATGCTTTGCCTAATTACATTGGAGCCGCTGTGTTTCTGCTTTACCAACAGTGCCACTTAAATCCCAGTGTTTCCCATTTGGAGCCGATCCCCTTGCCATGTAGTAACATAAGAAAGGCACTGCTCTGTCCATATTACCAGTGGAGCCCACAGTAGTGAACACCTTGGTCTGCTGTGCAAACACTAGGATCTCTAATAGCTGGAAGCTGTCACTAATGAGATCATCCTCCAACATAGACAACATTGTCACATATTTATGACAGCTGCTAGGAAGAAGATGGAGAGTGGAAGGGTCTCGGCTCTGAACCAGAAATATCCTCCTCTATGGAATCTATCCTGTCTTTTTAGGTACCAATCCACTCCTATGTATGTTGGCATTCCTTACTAAGGTAAAAAAAGATAGTAAAGTGATGAGAAGTATTTGATTGCACTTAACGGCAAATTGGATTGCAGATTTTATTTTTCTCATTTGCCATTTTACAAGTGCACCTCACATTGTGTCACCATGTCGTCAGTAGAGATGAGCCTGGGCTTGGTGCAAACCAAGTTCACCCAAGCCTGCTCAAAACTGTGACCGCCACTCCCTCCTCCCGACCCAATCAGTGGCAGCATGGGCATTCCTCACGCCTTTGTGGCGTATATAACTATGTGGCAGAAAGTGTGTTGCTGAGCAAATGATTGGGTCAGAAGGAAGCGGTAGCTGTCAGTTTTGAGTGGCTTTGGATGAACTCAGATGAACTACGTTTGCACCAAGCCCAGCCTCATCTCCAATTGTCAGTGCTTCTGCTATTCTTTGAATTGAATCACTCTTGTACTGTAGATTAATTTTGTCTTTTCTTTGTTGTAGAATTTTCCTGTGATGTGACTGAGAGCTCCTTAAATCTATACAATATCAAATCAGAGTGCCTGGAAAGCTCTCTTTCTATAGCAGTGCCATTCACGGGATCAGTGACCTACAAGCACTACTCTGCAGCTCCTCTAAAGGAAATCATCAGACTTTAGAGTATGTTAAAGGAAGACGTGACCACTATTGGTCTGTGAATGTATGGCTAGTTGCATATAGCACAGCCTTGTTGATCTTCTGAGCATACCATTCATACTACTTGCCAAGACTGAAGCATTCCGCACCTAACGGAATTCCAAAAAATGCAGCTGAACAGGCCAATCACCAGTCATTTTATATTGCCAGTCCAATGTGTATTGTGTGCTAAACAGTTCACTGGAATCATAATTTTGCACTTACCGATTCACCGTTAAGACTGTGGACTCAATGCCAAGTTTGGCCTTATGCCGCAAGTTCAATGGGGCAAACCATTCACTTTCATGTGGCGGCTGTTGTTTTACAAGACGACTATACAGGTCTCGCAGGTACCTAAAAGTGGTGATTTTACCATAAGTGACTTCTCAGGTACTGCCAATACAAACCAAGCTCAGATCTAGAGACTGAAAAAGATGGTCTTTTGCTTTTTGTATGTCTCCGCCTGAAAGGGAAGATTGTAAGCTCTTGTGCCTTTCTAGTGCCATGTACAGAATTGTATAATAAGATATGCTTTGTATATGTGTAAAAGTATTATATTTATAAGAAAACTGGTTCATTGAAGAACTAATGAAGCTAAATTTCCTATGGATTTGTGTCGTCCTGGTCATTCCTTGGGCTGCTGCCAATTGTTTTTCTTTTTAGATGAGCATGTTTGAAACACACGAGCATAACAAGAACCAAAAAACAAAAGAAGAGAAGCCTTTCTGAAAAGATGACGAGGGCTCTCACAATGGGATTAACTTGGCAGGAGTGTAACTTCTATCTAAAGCCAATATTTGTTTTTATTACTTGATAATAGTGAGGGGTTGAGTTGTCACCAGGACAGGGTATTCTTTATAATGAGGACACTTATTCCGGTGACCACTAAAAAGGGAATTACCTCGCTTTAGAGGGATTTCTTCCTACTTCCTGTTTCATCTACAGGACAGGAAGTGAAGAAAAGTCTCTCGAACCGGACAGATTACAACTAAAATGAGAAAAAAAAACTATACAGAGCAGGGCCAATCAGCCCTGCTCTGTGCCCTGTGTCTGGTTATCACAGTGATCACATGCAAGAATGACAACTTTCAACAGAAAATGACAACAAAGTGCAAAGCTCTGAATGAGGCCTAAACGACTTCTCCATCCAGGTACAAGTTGCTCTGGCTTTAAGGTGTTTCTTGAAACTGGGGCAATATATACTGTACCTGGTTACACAAAAAAACATTTCCTGTATCAGAAGGAGACCGCCGCAGCAAAATCAATGTACAGTTAGGTTGAGAAACCCTTGCCATGACCATGTACCTTATGCCATGGCTGCACCATCTGCTAGATAGCCATTGATGTAGGACAGTAATGGCAATCAGAGGGTTAAGATAAAGCCCAATGGCTGCCTATGCAGGAATGGACCTGTTTAGACTTTGATGGATGACCTCTGTAAAACGAGTTACTACACATTACTTCCTGATTACTTCTTTAAATACAACAGACACCCCCTCTCTATTGCTTGAAGCATCGACATGTTTTGTGGTACCTGTGTTCATTTATTTTCAAAGCATCCCCAACCTGTTTAATGCCAAACAAAGGTTTGGCTGTAGTTCTCGTTTAAGTGTATACATTGTTATTCAAATAAGATTTAGTTATATTTGCCAAAATGAAGGATATTGTGTATTTGTGTGAACTCGTAATGACTAAAGTGTTCTATGAAAAAACAAATCACACAAACATTTGTGCAATATCATGGGACATACAAAGTCAATAGTAAAGCTAAGATCCGGGTTAAACAAACATTTTGTATATACACGCCATGTGTATTCTTACTTGAATGTCGGTCTCCTTTGTGTATTTCTTCCAGATCCGTGCACAGATCCCCTGCTGATCGGAGCAGTATGGAATGGATGTCACTTATGACTCAGTTCAGTTTATTCCTCCATCACAAAACTGAACTAACCGCACCCATGTTAGGAATATGGGCAGTCAGATGTAAGCAGACATGTGTGCCTCGCATCTGAACTCTGTTGAGTTTTTTTTTTTCTGGACCTAGACGGACTTGGAGGTAATCGGATGTAAACAGACACATGTCCACTTACATCCAACTGCCCGGAACGTTACATTGAGCTTCTGATCAGGTTCGCCTGAAAAGATGACCGGCAGATCTGATAAGAGAGCCACGTGAAGGGGCCTAATGGACAAAAAGGTAAAAGTCCCCCATATATATTTTTTTATCGTTTACCTGGAATTCCACTTTAAAGTAGTATAAAACCCCAAACGTTTCAATAATTAGTCCAGATCAAAGTGAGGGTAAACCCTACCAATAGGGACGCAGACGGTGATCAAAACCTGACAGAGGCTCTAACTTTTTTCCCTCTATGCCAATTTGTTTTTTAAAAATCTAGAAATGTGGCTGGAATTAGCCTATAATACAGATGTCTTTAGTCCTGAGCACTTCCAGGTTCATGCTCAGTGCAAGGTTAGCGTTTTAGGGGGAAAGATTGCGGACTTTGTGCCCCTAATCTCCATAGTCAGCAACAAAGGGAGACATAAGCAGGACAATTAAACCCCTGATGTCTCTATAAAGAAGCCTTGTGTACACTGCCAGATCAAACAAATATACATCACCCAGCAAAGTATTTCTTCCCAAACACTTACAGTACAGTTGTAATGTTTCCGAGCAGCTGACTCCAACTCTCACAGCTTGGCTTTCCTGAACTTCTTGCCTTGTACAAGTTCACAAGGAACAGAGCAGTCTCCACCAGCTGTCCATATATTAGAAGGGAGAAAGGAGAATCAAGGAAGTCTCTTGGCTTGCTGTATCTGTATGTTTGTGGAGACACAGACTGCTTAATAGCACACACAAGGGTGGCTCCATAGGACCCTGCCAGGCAGGGGAGCAGCTGATTCTGCAGGAAGGTAAAACTTTTAAACATCAAGAAGCAGCATTCATTTTCGGTGATTTAATCAGCATTCGAAAAAGCATGAAAACCTTTTGACTTTATAATTACTTTAACCACTCCCGACATGCCGGCCGGAAACTTCCTAGATCTGAGCGGGCGTAGTTAAATGTCCCGGCAGGACCGCCCACCGCAGGAAACTGCCTAAATTTAAAAACAGGCAGCGATGCATATAGGTGCCAGTCCATGTGTGTATCCCCCTCTCCCCCTGCTGGTCCCGGCCTCCGTTGTGCCCGGTGCGAGCCCGGGACCAGCATAGTGGCTCTTTGACGGGATCAGAGGCTGATCGGTACACAATCTCCCTCCATCCCCTCTCCGCTATCAGAATGCGGAAGTGATGTATAGTAAAAACAAACACTAAACTGATGAGCGGTAAAAGCTGTTAAAGCGTCGCCTATGTCAATTCTGGGTATGGTCGTTTTTTGTGATCTTGCGGGTGCGCGCAATTTTAAAGCTTGACATGTTTGGTGTCTATTTATCCGACGTGACCCCGACTTTTATATTTTACCAAAAAATTGGGTAATAATAATTGTTTCCTAACATAATGTTAAAAAAAAAAACTTTTTTTTTTTTTCAAACTTTTCAGTAATTTTTCCTTAATTTAGTAAAAAATAAAACCCGCAGTGGTGATTAAATACCTCCAAAAGAAAGCTCTATCTGTCCCCAAAAAATGGTATAAAATTAATTTCAGTACAGCGTTGCATGACGGAATAAATGTCAGTCAAAGTACTGCAGCGCTGAATACTGAATAATGACCTGGCCAGGAAGGGGGTGTAACACCTGGTCAGCTGGTGGTTAAAGACTGGATAACATTGCTGCCCGATTTCAGCAATGGCAGCCTACATATTTTCTCTACACAGGTCTCCTTTAAGTCAGAAGAGGATATAAAAAAAGCGATCGTTCCTTGGACGGTGTTGCTGTGTTAAATTCTTGAATTAGCATGCTGATTTTTCCTTTCCAGATGTTACAAAGCATTAAATAGTCTTCAAGCTGCCTGCACACTGCTGTGTTTGAACTTTCCAGATTTAATAGCATTTTTTCTTCAGGAACATTTTTTTTCTGCTCTTATCATAATGCATAATCCTCCACAATTAACTGTTTGCCTATCTCTCTTTATCTCGTTTTAACTTGGGACTTTAAACCGGAGATTATGGTTTAACTAAGGTTTCTGAGCACACATTACACAGCGCGTACTGTTTAAAGACTGTTCTTTTGATCTTGGCATTGAGGCTTTCAGCACGTGTGCAGAGTGACCCTAAACCCTACAGAGATATGTTTTCTTTCTTCCTGCCTGTGCTGTAAGATCCATGTAGTATAATACTAGATTGTATTCATCCTTTACTCTGTTATTTTGTAATACAGAAGAAGATTAGATCTTTTTCTTCATATTTTATAGTGCAATAAAAAGGCAATAGACGTGATGTGTACAGAAAAAGAGGGCTATGAACACACCTCAATGTACAAAAAAATAGGTCTTGCTCTGTTATACAATACAATACAATAAAACACAACCCTCAGGGCATTTGCATCTGTATGTTGAGGTGCAAAATAGCGTGATATATACAGTATGTGTGTTGCGGTGCAATGAACAATGGAGCTCAATGTACAGCAACACATATATAGTGCATTACTATAGCGTACATTGTGGAAAGTATGAGCCCTAAAGCTGGCTGTACACTAAGCAAATTTTGAGCAGTACTTGAATTATATTTGCTCAGTGCGTGGCCCTTCTACCCAATATTGTTCAATTCCGAAACTGAAGGAGCCAGGTGAAAATACAGTAGCCATAGCAGAGATTCCACAAATCCTCGTTGTTTAGTGTGGCTGGAGGAATCCTCTTAGATTTTGTTTCCATTTGGTTGGAAAGTGGAACAATTAGAATCTAACCATGTATAGCTCTTTGTAGCCACAATAGAATAACACCTACTTAACCATATCTTAGCTTACCTTTATTTAGGTGTTCTTTCTGTTAACTCCAGGACTGAAAAATCCTGCTTATTTTTCACAGTCATGGGGGGTGGGGAGTTTTTTATTTTATTAACCCTGTCTTTACTCTGCTGACATCTTTCATTGTCACTAGATGAGCAGGACCGTCTGTCCTCACAAAGGGTTAAAGTCCTGAAGACTTTGAGAGGGGAATTTATCAAAACTGGAGCAGACAAAATCTGGAGCAGCTGTCCATGGCAACCAATCAGCTTCTCTCTTTAATTTTTAAATCTTAACTGAAGAGAGAAGCTGATTGGTTGCCAGGCACAGC